CCCCCCCACCCCCTCTCCGCAGACACTGACCTGAACGCAGTCATCCGGAAGGGCGGGCTGCTGCGGGACGTCCACGTGCGCTCCATCTTCTACCAGCTTCTGCAGGCCACCCGGTTCCTCCACTCGGGGCACGTTGTGCACCGGGACCAGAAGGTGTGGTCCCCCCGCCTCCAGCCCCCTGCTAGGCCACGTGGCCCAGCTCCTGGCCCCACCCAGCCCCAGGGCCTCAGCCTGCCTCCTCTCTGCAGCCGTCCAATGTGCTCCTGGATGCCAACTGCACAGTGAAGCTGTGTGACTTTGGTCTGGCCCGCTCCCTGGGCGACCTCCCTGAGGGGCCTGAAGACCAGGCCTTGACAGAGTACGTGGCCACACGCTGGTACCGAGCTCCGGAGGTGCTGCTGTCTTCACACCGGTAACAGCCGGACACCCCCAACCCACCCTCCACCTCCCTGCTGCCCTCCTGCCCAGCCAGGGCTCCCAGGCCTCCTGTACTCCCACCCTGCCTTGGTCCACAAGTGTCCCCCATTCACCCCCCTAGCAACCCCACCCCCACTTCTGCCTCTGGGTCTCTCCGTGCCTACACCCTTTCGTGCCCCAGGTACACCCTTGGGGTGGACATGTGGAGTCTGGGCTGTATCCTGGGGGAGATGCTGCGGGGGAGGCCCCTGTTTCCGGGCACGTCCACCCTCCACCAGCTGGAGCTGATCCTGGAGACCATCCCACCGCCATCCAAGGAGGGTGAGCCAGGTGGCTGGGGCTGGGCACCGAGAATGCTGCAGGTCAGATAGCACAGCTGTGGGGAGACAGCAGCTGACAGGCTAGGACTGTGCTGAGAGGAGGGACGGGGACAGGGAGGATCCAGAGGATGAGGCAGGAACCCCAGGAAGACCAACTGGTGATGGAGGCCCAGGAAGAGCTGCTGGCGGGGGGATGTGGGTAGGCAGCACCTGGCACAGTCACCATGAGAGCCAAGCAGTGACCATGAAGGGGCCAGCACGCTGGACAAGTTCCCCGAGGGATTCAGGTAGCACGGGCAGGGACTGTCACTGTGCCGGGAGCTGGGGGGCGCACAGAGAGCTGGGCAGGAGAGATTCAGGTGCTAGGGGAAGAGGTGGAGGAAGGCAGTGGTAGTGGGGCCATGGGGGTCACTCTTGAGGGTGGGGGCAAGAGGGAGCTGCACTCCCAGGTACATCTACTTGTCCGGGTGGAGCCTCCTCATCCGTGGAGGTGGGTGCCAGTGTCCACCTGTGTGAGCACGCCCCAGGGCCAGGTGCCACAGTGTGGAGCAGGGGTTGTGAGCGGGTGCTCCCGTGCACAGGCTGGGTGGCACACCCTGGCGATGGGGTGTTTGAGCCCTGCCAGACAGCAGAAACCCTGTAGAGAGGCTGTGCTCCCTGGGGCTGGAAGAGACGGCTGGCCCCAGATACCCTGAGCCGCCCCAGTCTACCAGGCCTGCCTGGGTCACACCACCTTCTGCTGCCCCAGACCTCCTGGCTCTTGGCTCAGGCTGCCGTGCCTCTGTGCTGCACTGCCGGGGGTCCCGGTGAGTGGGGGCACTTCGGTGAGGGTGAGAGGGTGGCCTGTCTCAAGGGAGCAGGGCCACCTTCCTGCAAGGTTACTGGGTCCAATTTGTACCAGTTCAGATTCCACCTGCTTTCATGATGGCAGTCCCCAACCCAACAACTGTTGGCCACTCTGAAAGCAGGAGCCCCTGGTGGTGGTCCTAGAGGGTGGCCCGGAGGAGCTGTGCTAGGCGTGGAGAGGAGGGCACCAGGGGGCTGCAGGGGTCTCTCCACTGTGCAGGTCAGGCACAGGGGCATCTACCTAGACAGGACAGCAGGGTGGACCCCAGTTTCAAAGCTGAGCCCCACCCATGAATGTGGATCTGAGGAGGGGCCCTTGGGTCGGGCCCTGGATACGACACACGGCAGCCCACAGGCCACGACAGACGCTGGACGCCCTCCTACCGCCAGACACTTCCCCAGAGGCCTTGGACCTCCTTAGGCGACTCCTGGTGTTCACCCCAGACAAGCGGTTAAGCGCCACCCAGGCACTGCAGCACCCCTACGTGCAGAGGTGGGAGTGGGAGAGAGTCCCCTAAGTGCGGGGGACAGAGGTGGGAGCAGGAGAGAGCCAGCCCATGAGGGAGAGCCCCCGCAGCACGGACCCTGCAATGACAGCTTGAGGGGCTCCCTTGGCCACAGCCCAGGCCTCACCTCTCTGGCTCCCTGCAGGTTCCACTGCCCCAGTGATGAGTGGGCACGAAAGGTACATGTGCAGCTCCGGGCACGCGAAGGGGTCCAGCTCTCTGCGCCTGAGTACCGCAGCCGCGTCTATCAGGTGCTCCAGCTCGCGACCCCCATCATCCCC